AAGTTTATCAAATTAAATGAGTGTAGTTAACTCAATTTACTATTAAGTGAATTCTACATTTGAAAAGAGTTTTGAGCTCTGTGTTAAAGGTAATGAGGTAATTAAAAATCTCATTAATTCAACTTAAAGTTCACAGTACTCATATAGATTAGTTTAACTAATTAGTTAAGCTAACCATTAGTTTACTAACCTATTGTGTTTTACAGTACTCAGTTTGTTTGAGTTCTCTTCATTTATTGGGTTTTACTGTGCTCGTATTACTTAATTGACTCAAATGGATTAAGTTCACAGTACTCAATAGGGTTAGTTTTCGAACTTAAATGGTTTGTTGCAATCGATTTTCTTAAACAATTTGAGTTACCTTAACTTATTGGCCTTTACAGTGTAGTAAACAACCTTTTTCTTCATTTTTTTACGCAATGTTCATATTTATCCTGCAATGTCCATTTTACATGCATAGTATGAATCATCGCCTAATCGAATGAAATTCTAGTGGCAGTTGTGTACATAACACACCTGTAGTTGGTTGCTAGGATCGTCTAAAGTGGTTGCTACAGGGTTCTCTTTTTATCTAAGTGAAAAATAAGATGCTTTCTGTGAAGTGCAGTTTCTTGCCCTCTTTTGGAGGTAATTTGGTTCATTGTCTAGCTCATTTTTTCTATTTTTTTTACACTGTAAAACCCAACAGTCAACTTCATTAAATGAAATGAGTGTAGTTAATTCTACTCATTTGAACTCAGTGTTGAAGGTAATGAGGTAATTAAATTCTACATTGCTACAAACCATTTGAGTTGCCTTAACTTATTGGGTTTTACAGTACTCAGTTGGTTTGAGTTCTCTTCATTTATCAGGTTTTACTGCGCTCAAATTGCTTTGTGTACTTAAATGGATTAAGTTCACAATACTCATTAGGATTCGTTTTTGAACTTAAATGGTTTGTTGCAATCGATTTCCTTAAAGCAGGGGTCACCAATCTCGGTCCTGGAGGGCCGGTGTCCCTTCAGGGTTTAGCTCCAACTTGCCTCAACACACCTGTCTGGGTGTTTCAAGTAGACCTAGACCTTGATTAGCTTGATCAGGTGCATTTGATTAGGGTTGGAGCTAAAATCTGCAGGACTCCAGGAACAAGTTTGGTGACCCCTGCCTTAAACTATTTGAGTTACCTTAACTTATTGGCTTTTACAGTGTTGTAAACACTCTTTTTCTTCATTTTATTGTACACAATGTTCATATTTATTCTGCAATGTACATTTAAAATGCATATGAATAATCGCCTAATGTAATGAAATACGAGTGGCATTTGATCTGGTCTTTTTCATAGTGAAAGTTATAATAGGCACTGTTGATTATGCAGGGCTGTGTAATGTAAAAGCATGTCGACTTTTTTTTGGCTGTGCGCAGTAACAAGAGAGGGAGGTGTAATGGTTAATCCAGGCTCAAATGCTTCTTTTGCTTTAGGTTCAGGGAACTTTGCCTACAGATCTGTGATTATACTGTGCACTACCTCAGCGTTTGGCCTGGTTCACTCGCCAAGGTCAGCATTCCTGGCCCCGGCCGTTGCTTAGCGGAGTCTGAGCTTCAGCGCTGTCTATTCAGCTGCGAGTGGCCCTGCTAAATTAAAGACAGGCAGTCAGAAATTAAAGCCAAGCCCAGGAACAGACAGCAGAGACTAAATTCAATCTGGGCTGAACACAATGAATGACTCTTCCTGTCTGGATATTTCACAAACTTTACTTTATAGGTTACCTAAAGTATAAATTTGCATCTCTTAAAACAAGACATATATCGTTTGTTCATATTATTAATCAGCTGAAACAACACAATTCTTGAGCTTTCTGTGAGACAACTTAATTGTTTTATGTTCAGTCCACTTAAATTTGTTAACTAATAAGTTAACTCAATTGCTTCATGTTGTCTCAACACAAATTGATTGTGTTGAACCCAGCATTTCTTTACAATGATCTACTTATTTGCTGTTTAGTAAAGATGTACTATTATTATTACTATTATTATAGATGATTAATAAATTTAGAGAAATTAGGAAGGATGGATTTTTTAGAATGCATGCAGATCATAGTTTTATTTAATTCAGCTGCAGTAATTTGACTAAATCCTGGATGTTTAATTTTCTTAAAATATAAAAATATATCAATCTTTTTAAAAGTCTTCAAAATGTTTTTTTTTAATTCTTGTATATTATTGTAATATTTCATTTTCAAGTAGGCTAAGTATTCAGATTATCAAAATGTATGAGATTGTTGAGAATTGTCATTTTTAGGTAAACCTGGAATGTGTATTAGATTTTTTTCGTTTCATTTAGATATTTTTTAATGCATTTACTTTGTTATTTATATTTTCCCTCTCTCTTTCCGTCTTTTCTTTCTCTCATTTTTTCGTCTTTTCTTTCCTCTTTTTTTCTTTAAGCGTTTGTGAAAAAAAGTTTTGCTGAATTTAGTTGATCGGTTATAAAAAAATATAAAGCAGTATGATTTACAGTAAGTCGCGTTTAACTGAATAAGTGCGCTAGAAATGCACCTGCGCTTCTCATCCTCGAGTTCCTCCTTCCGTCCAGCATTTACTTGATCTTTCCGTTCAAATATGTCAGAACATTAACCGTGAATCTTTGTATTTCTGTCTTTTTGCCCCTTGTACCGTTTCTATTTTTTGTTCTTCTGCTTTTTTTGTAATCCTGTGCATTTCAGTCTTCACTCAGATTTATTTTAAGAGACGAATTCAAATCATATTCTATGTCGCGGACATTCTAAAATAGAATTATGTCCGTATTCTAATAATGACGCAGTTTAATAGTGCATTTTAAGATTGGCCAAATATTATCTTTTAATTTTAAACAATCGCATTTATTTTCTCTCCAGTATTTGCTGGGTTATATCACGCGGAACACACTATTTTTAGATAAATTAATAATGCAACGCATACATTGTTTTATTTAATTTCGTTAACATTAAATTTGTTGTTGTTTTTTATTATTTTGGACAGACTGTATTAATCACCCAGCTGATAACTGTACTTAAAAACATTTTGGCATCGAAAAGCCAGCCAATATTTCAGAAACGAAATATTCATTTATTAATGTTCATATAAATATATCTAACATAGCTTTAATTGATCATAACATAGGGGCTGTCATGTTTAATAAAATATAGCCTACTTATTAAAACGAATTTGAACTTGTTAATGTATTAACAAAGCTTGTATATTGAACAATTATGGTATTAATATACTAGGTTTTGATTGATTTTGCCATTGTCATTAATTATTAACTATATTTTAGATTTCTAAAATATAAATACTGTGACGTTTCAACATTTTATTTGAAGTAGTGTTTTAAAGCTTACATTTTAAAATCTTTGACGCTCAGGTTTTTTTTTTTTTTTTGTCATTTTTATACCCCAACGAATATTAATCACACATAAGCACACATAAACACCCACACAAACACACACACACACACACACACACAAATATATATTTATATATATATATATATATATATATATATATATATATATATATATATATATATATATATATATATATATATATATATGTCATTCATTTATTTTATTTTCGTCTTGGTCCCTTTATTAGTCAGGAATCGCCACAGTGGAATGAATCACCAACTTATCCAGCATATGTTTTACGCTGCTGATACTCTTCCAGCTGCACCCCGTTACTGGGAAGCAGCATTTCGTCATTTAAAAACAATTAATAAATCAATAACGCGGAAAACATGCTCTTTAATAGTGTTTGTTAGATATTGTTCTTCTTTAAAGGACATATACTTCAAAGTATTAAGCTTATATAGGCTACTTGTTGGTTTCAAACCAAAAATGTAATTAAAAATTCGTTTTAATAATTACTTTATTTGTTTTGTTTTCTTTTTAATTTTTTTCTATCAGGCTTGTTTATTGTATTTTTTAATTCCATCACATTTTTAGACTGCAGGCCTTGAGATACAAATACCTCTCTAAACAACAAATTAAAGGCTTTTTTATGGCATAAAGAAAATTTTATTAACTAAATAAATATTTAAATCCCTCTCCAAAACGAAAAACTATCAATGCTGCACGATAATTTCTACAGATAAAAATAAAATTCGCCAGAAAGCGTCATATTCCTCGTATTATTTTATTTATTTGAATTGTTCTTATTTTTTATTTATTTTTCTCTTTGCATATATTATTTTGTCAAAAGAAAAAGTGATTTCCTTGATAATGTAGTTGGCAGGTGCATCAGAGCGCGCTTCACTGAAGGTCAGCGCGCGCCTCTTTCAGCTCTTTCTTCTGTTTTAAAGCCCAGGTATGTTGAATTAATTAAAACAGACGTAATTAACGCAGATTCTTCTTACATAAGAAGAAGATCTTTACGAGTTCACCTTAACACACACACACACACACACACACACACACACACACACACACACACACACACACACACACACACACACACACACACACACACAAAAAAAAAAAAAAAAAATAAATAAATAAAATAAAAACATCTGGCATATGTAGAATTGATCAAGCCAAAACGCCTGGCTATATGAATGTTCAGTGTAACAAGATTTTTTTTATGTGTGGTCTTGTTATTTGATGATCATATCATAGAATTACCTTTTTAAAATAATAATAATAATCATAAAATTGTACACCTATTAAACATTTTTATCATGTGAAGTCGACAGCAGATTATTTGTTTAACTCCAAAGTTAATGAACCAGATTTTAAATGAATCATTTAGGACCAAATGAATCGGTGACTGACACACACCTGCTCACTTCTGCTAACTAAACACGTTCGACCAATGCACACGTATTTATTTCACATTTACATTGACTTTAAAACAAGAAAAAAAATATTTATGGTCACACACGCACTTAAAGATCACTCCACACACCTTAATTCGCGAATTGCGTTTATCATTGTGGTCGCGATCAGTTTATAACCATTTCTTTGTATCTACCTCTCTCTCTGTCTCCCTCCCTCTCTCTCTCTCTATCTCTCTTACTCTCTCCGGTGAACGGTATAATCCCCTGCCGTCCCTGCTTCACTCCAAGCCCGTATTTAATTCCCTTAAACCCCCAGCTGCCGTTCTGGTTCCTCTGTGAACACGACAGACTGTGAAGCGCTGCCGGTTATTAATAATTCACCAGCCACTGCACGAATCCATCCACAGATCAAGCCGACCGTTCTGCACGGGCCACGCAGGGCTAGCACGTTTATTCTGGCATCTACTCTTACTTATAGGCTACTTAACATACATGAATTAGTGATTCGAAACGTTAGCGCGTTATTCGCTCCGGCGACGTAAACAAACAAAAAAATCTCCATATTCCTCTCACGCGCCGTGTAGTCTGCAATATCCCGAAATGACGTCCTCTCCATAATAATTGATCGTGTAATCCATGCACTGAGGAGGAGGAGGAGGTCATGGAGATCACCCTGAGGAGGTCTCCAGTGGGATGGATGGAGATCGAGCATCAGTTCACCCAGAGTCCGTGAGCTGAAACTGCGCAGAAAGTTGCCGCGCGGAACGATCTCGACTCACGCCGGCAGAGAGACACTCAGAAAGGGGGAGAGATTGGCACCGGAGAGCTTCGCCCAGCGGAAAGAGCGCTCGTGCCGAACTTGCACGTCGTTTTTTTTAGGGTACCTGTTAAAAGGCACATTCCTCCGAAAGTTTTCGTGCGCAAAAGTTGGTCATTTTACGCGATCATTTCGGGCCCGTCCCGCAACCCGGTTCTTCTGCTTCCGGTATCAACGGAGGAAACCGACTCGTTTGCTGTTCCTCTCCCACCACGCTCCTTTTTTTTTTCGGGGCAAACTTTTCTGTTTTTTTCTAAAGGAGTAAAATGGGTCTTTGAGACTGTTGGCAATATTCCCCGCTCCACAATGGTACGTGCTGTGTAAATCAACTTTGCTCTTTTTATTTCTGCTTTTAAACTGCTGCTAAACACGGATGAATATGTCAGGCAATCATTGTTCCAGATTGATTTTCGGAGCTCTGAAAACTGTAAAACAGCATGCGCTCTAGTCTTCATTCGGCACTTAATGCCACTGTGCGGTGTGTGTGTGCGCGCGCGTGTGTGTGTTTGCACTGTATAAGAGCGCTCTCTCTGGTATTTCAACTTGAAGTTGTTCATATTGATTGCGAAGTTAGTTTGAATCTTTGCAGACTGCTTTTTTTCGCGTGCATGCGGTGCAGCAAATGTACCACACAATCTGTGCACGATCTATTAATCAAAAGTAAACACAGAGCCATGCCTTATCAGAATGCAATATTTAACTTTGTCCCCGCGGCGCTTCAACTTTCATCATCCGACTCTTTTATGCCGGTGAATAATCAAGTGCTACGCAGAATAACAACCCCTCAAGTTTGCATGCTTTTCAGTGTTATTGCGATTACAGGCGACACATGCATGTAACATGCCATTACTGAAATTGTTCCACTGCGCAAGCTTGTCACAGGACGACTGTCGCCGCCCACATGTCGTCTGTCAAAGAGAACAAAAGCTCTGATGGGGGTTTATATATAGAGCAATGGATGCAACTTATTTCGTGTCCGTACCAACTTTTTTTCTGCGCACACGTGCAAAGTCTTTGAATTGTATTATGATTGGCACTGCATTAATGCGTTGCGTGGTTTGTTATTCTTGCAGTTTATTTACTCTTCATATACTGTGCTGTCTTCTTTAATTATACGAGAACACACTGATGTTTAAATAAGTAACTGGGAAACAAATTGCAATCAGTGATAGATTTCTGTATTGACTAAGTTTTTTTTTTTTTTTGACATTTTACAAAGCAATATGATATCAATTATTTTGTTTTACTCCAAAGCTGCATGCTTTATTCAATTTTCTATTTGGTTTTTCTTTATAATTTTGAATCATTGTAAATATTTTTCTCTTTCCGAGAAGTCTGCAAATATTTGAACGATTTCACTTGTTCACTTTCTTTAACATGCTATAATTAAGTTTCTGACTTTATTCAAGCAGCAAAATTTTATTATTATTTATTATTACTACTATTATTATTATTTATTATACTCCGAAGGACACAGGCTTCTCCTAAAAGATAATATGATGATCTGCAAGAGGCATCATTGTGGAAAAAAAAAATTCTCAGCTTTTATTTGCATTTGAACAAACACTTTAAGTCAGAATTTGCCGGCAGGGGTATGTAAACTTTTGGCCTTGACTGTACACTGTAAAAAAATCTATCTATCTATCTATCTATCTATCTATCTATCTATCTATCTATCTATCTATCTATCTATCTATCTATCTATCTATCTATCTATCTATCTATCTATCTATCTATCTATCTATCTATCTATCTATCTATCTATCTATCTATCTATCTATCTATCTATCTATCTATCTATCTATCTATCTATCTATCTATCTATCTATCTATCTATCTATCATTTTGGGCTTGACTGTACACTGTAAAAAATATATGATCGATTAGTTCTCACAGCATTTGTTTAGGTCCTTGTAACGTATAAAATTAAGTTAGAACATGATTAACATAGTTGAATAAGTTACGCAAGCTGTTTTAAGTCAGTTTAACATAATATGAGTTCAATGTACTCATAAGGTTAATTTGATTCATCTTAAATTTAAGATAACCAGGATTTTTTTTTTTGGTGTATAAGTATTTGGATACTTGTTGCATATCTCTTTCTTTCTAAAATGAATTATGTTTTAGTGATAAAGGTGCAAAAATGTAAAAATGCTATTGTAAAAACAGAACAGAATGTAGTGACCTCTTACGTCATAAATGAATCAGCTTGATGTTTAAAGTCAGTTTTGTTTAAGTTGAATGGCTTGTAAAATGATTTGATTCAATTTTAAAATTATAAATTAGCTCATTTATTTTCCTTTAAGTTTTTTAGAAGGTGTACAACACCACCACCACCATCTATACATTACTGTTTATTTAACGCTTGTGTTGAGCTTCTATTCCTCAAGTGACTTTCTCATCACCACCTGTTTTTGGAAGTCTTTTATAAAGAAGCAAAGGAGATATGTATGCTCAGCATTTATACAGTACACCCCTCACAAATCTTTTAAATTAATATTTTTAATAGGAAGCTTTACAATAATATATTTGTGCGTATACATTAGATTAGTCAGTACTAAAGCCAAGTATGGAGCTTATCTAACAAAATTTTGACTTTAACGGTCCAAAAACTAGTACACCCTAATCTATATGTTATAGAAAAATATTAATTACTAATAAAAAAAGAGGAAAAATCAAAAGAAGCAAAAATATTTAAAAATTGAGTTGAATTTTTGTAAGTTGTAAATTATTTTTGCAATATTTTGCTTGAATTTATTTGTATTATCTTTCAATTTCTAAATATGTTTGGTGACACAAATATTAATTTGACCAACATATGTTTATTAAATCTGTTTCTTTGAATGCACCAACATACACTTATATTCATTAATAAATGGATATAAATATTAATTTTCAAAATGGGGTGTACTGTTATCCTGAGCACTGTATTAGTATTTCAGCAAGTATGCACATTAATGTTAAATCAGTCAATGAAGTAAAAGTTACTTAATTTAAATGTAAAAAGTTTGCTACCATGATTCTACATTTCACAGATGTTGTATGAAGGAGCCCATGTATAAAATACACATGCCGCCATTTCCTTGAGTGTTTAGCCGTTTATTTGTAGAGAGCAAATTTGCTGGTCAGATACGATAATTCAACAGCATGCAAAGTAAAACGCAAGGACGATGCATTTAAAAAGTCTTATCGGTCGGTTTTGGGATCTTCAGGAAGGAACATCTGTTCAGTGTTAGCTCTGCTCTAACCTCAGCGAGCTGCATTTTTACTTCTCACCAGTCAGGCCACAATAAGCCGATCTGAGGAAACATCAAGCTATTGGCAATCAACTAAAGCACTTTACCCAGGTGTCCTCATTTCAGAGTCTACATGTTCAGCTAATTTATGCATCGGCCTTCTTTATTTTCAACTCGCAGCACACACAGTTTTCACTTCTTCTTCTTCTCCTCCACTAGCTCTGCAATCCAGCTCATATTCGACTGCATGACTGACGCAATATATATAGACTTGTACTTGTTGATGATTTCCAGATGGGCCTGAATATCAGCACATTAATGTGGATAATTATTTGTTTACTCGCTCTCTTAAATGGCACCGACCCAATTAGGCCACTGCAGAAAGAAACGAGGGAATCTATTCAAAGCTGACTCCACATGGGATTAACGTCTTCTCTTAAAAAAAAAAAAAGCCAATTTAATTAAGCTTCCAAACAACAATCAAAGATATGAAGGGAGATAGTTTTTACAAAAAAACAAAAAAGAATTGACAGCTAGTTGCATTGCAGCTACATTAGCCCTCCGTCAAACATCTAAATGCATCTGGGAGACACTTTGATGACAGTTGAAGTAAATGGAAAAGTACGATAACAAACAATGAATCCTATAGTTTGTTTACCAAAGCGATTTTTCTTTGTCGACTGCAAACTTGGCTGTGAAAGCAGGATACAGTATGTCTTTGATTTGAAAATCCTTTATTTTGCTGTCAGTGTTTGATTTGTTTGACTGAGAGGATGAGTATGGAGCTAGATCAGTCTCAAAAATAATACATTTACAAAATATTATTAATACATCCTCAAGTCATATTTACAAAGTCAAATTCACAAGTTTAAAACATGATTTTTTCCTTCTCTTGGTCAATTAATAAATTGACCCCCTCACCACTGTCACCACTGACTTGCTTGGATCGGGACTTGTAGAGCTGTGTGGATTTGCTCTTCAGTGTTTAAACTTTCAGCAAGGAAACTTAAACCACACTGAACTAAACTTAACTGAACTTCAACTGTGAAATCTGGACTTTACTAGAACTATGTTGAGCTGCTTTGACACAATCTACATTGTGAAAAGTGCTATATAAATAAACAAATTGATACAAAAATACGCATCCAATTCGTAAATTCAAAACTCGATTCAAAAATACACAAATCTAATTTTTAAATTCAAAACACGAATCAAAAATACAAAAGTCCAATTCATAAATTCAAAACATGATTCAAAGATATGCAAATCCAACTCGTAAATTCAGAACATGATTCAAAAATACACAAATCTAATTCGTAATTTCAAAACACGAATCAAAAATACGCAAATCCAACTCGTAAAATCAGAACATGATTTAAAAATACGCAAATCCAACTCGTAAATTCAGAACATGATTCAAAAATACGCAAATCCAATGCGTAAATTCAAAACACGATTCAAAAATATGCAAATCTAACTCGTAAATTCAGAACATGATTCAAAAATACGCAAATCCAACTCGTAAATTCAGAACATGATTCAAAAATACGCAAATGCAACTCGTAAATTCAGAACATGATTCAAAAATACGCAAATCCAATGCGTAAATTCAGAACATGATTCAAAAATACACAAATCCAACTCGTAAATTCAGAACATGATTCAAAAATACGCAAATCCAACTCGTAAATTCAGAACATGATTCAAAAATACGCAAATCCAACTCGTAAATTCAGAACATGATTCAAAAATACGCAAATCCAATGCGTAAATTCAAAACACGATTCAAAAATATGCAAATCTAACTCGTAAATTCAGAACATGATTCAAAAATACGCAAATCCAACTCGTAAATTCAGAACATGATTTAAAAATACGCAAATCCAACTCGTAAATTCAGAACATGATTCAAAAATACGCAAATCCAACTCGTAAATTCAAAACACGATTCAAAAATACGCAAATCCAATTCAGAAATTCAAAACATGATTAAAAAATACGCAAATCTAACTTGTAAATTAAAAACATGATTCAAAAAATCTATCTATCTATCTATCTATCTATCTATCTATC